ACATTTTGTCACATCTACCTTTTTTCTTTTAATACAAATGCCTACAGGCCCTTTTCAAGCATTTGTGATTTGCAGTCATAAATATTTAAAGACCATACCATTACCCTCACAACCATCCACCCCATGACATTCCCATTTTAACAAGGGAAATTTCTAATTTTAATAAGTTAACATTAAGATGACAGCAGAAAAAGTTATGCCTTGAACAAAATAATAACCAACATTTTTAAATTATTTGTTGAAAACAGAATTAAAAACCTTTTAATATAGCTTACATTTAAAATGAGTAAGTGATACTTTGTGCTATTGACATTTAGACTTCCAGTGCAATTGGAAATTATTATTAAAATAAATTAAAAAATAATTACAAATCTTTCTGCCTCCCCTGGTATTGTGTGATTCCAAACCCAAATTCAGTTTTCTTGAAATTTATTACTATAATACTACTATTTGCTATTGGCATAGCCTTGTGACTCCTTAACTTACATTTTGACTTTGAATAAATTATGTACAATGTTTAAAATATGATTTTTAATGATCATTATACCATATAGGATTACAGACAAATTTGTAGTGGGTTTACAAGTTTGTTTACAAATAGTAAACAATGTCCTATCAAAGTATAATTTGTTTTCCTAGCCTAGGTTTATAGTTTTTAAATTTTAAGTTAATTATTTGTCTTTTTATAGAAACAAAGGATGGAGTATGGCCCAAGACCAGCTGATACTCCCACTGCTCCATCACCTCCTCCAACACCAGCTCCTGTTCCTGTCCCCCTTCCACCTTCCACCCCAGCACCTGTTCCTGTGTCAAAGGTCCCAGCAAATGTAACGCGTCAAAACAGCAGCTCCAGTGACAGTGGTGGCAGTATCGTGCGAGATAGCCAGAGACACAAACAACTTCCAGTGGACCGTAAGTTTCCCAAGGAGGCAAAAAAATGTCTTCTGCAGATGAAAAGCACTACTAAGTAAAATACTGTTTACTGTTGATTCTACTTGTATTAAATATAAATAATAGTCCTTTATACTTGCAAGGTACTTAATAGATTGCAAAGATTTTCACCTAGTTTCTCATCATCTACATGATTCTGAGAAATAGGAAGTGTTCTCTCCACTCTCTAATGCATGCCTTTCTAGTCCTTTTCCAATATATTATGATGGTTGAATGCAGACTCTGGAGCCAGACATTCTGGAATTTGTATAGTGAAATAGCACTTGCCAGCTGCTGGACCTTCAATGACTTAATTATCCTCTCAGCACTTCAAGATCTGAAAAGTGGAGAAAAATAATAGTATCTGCTTCATAGGATAAGTGTGAGGATTTATTGAGATAATGCATAGAAAGCATTTAGTTCAGTGCTTCTCAGCCAGGAATGATTTTGTCCTCCTTTCCATCCTTATGAGGACATTTGATATTGTCTGAAGATGTTTTCAATTGTTAAAACTGGGAAATGCTACTGATGTCTAATGGGTAGAGACCAGGGATGCTTAGCAACAGCTTACAATGCACAGGACAGCCCCCAGCAACAGAGTTATCTGGCCCAAAATGTCAATGGTGCTGAGGTTGAAAACCCCTGACTGATTCTAACTACTGCATGACGCATAATAAGCAATCACTTATCTACATGCTGCTGTCATCATCATTATCCTCATCATAACCTTCCTGCTTCTCCTCCTCCTATTTGCTATTCACAATAGATGCACAGTCACACTAGGTTAATATAATCACCTGCCTATAGTAGTCTCAGGTTTACCCTCTCAATTCAGATTTCATGTGATTTAGGCTTCAGTGCCATATTTTCATAAATGTAAATTTGATGTTTTATGAAAACCATATTTGACTAAACTAGAGAGACACTATGCCCAACTTTGGATTATTGTTATTTGTATTATTGGTGAATAGCAGTGTAGATGTTTTGAAAACTGAAGATAATTTTAAGATAAATTTTGTTTAACTTTGTAGTATATGGCATGTCAATTTAATCTCCAAATTTGGTGTTTTAAACGTATTATAAAGTTACTTTGCTTTACCTATACTTGATATATAAAAAGTCTTGGAAAACCAGAGCTGGGAAGATATTTCATATTTCCCCAATATAACAAAAGTATATTAAGGTTGTATGTGTGTGTGTGTGTGTGTGTGTGAGAGAGAGAGAGAGAGAGAGAGAGAGAGAGAGACAGACAGAGAGAGACAGACAGAGAGAGACAGAGACAGAAAGAAGGAGAGAGAAAGGGAGAGAAAGAAAGGGAGAGAGAGAGACGGATATCTATCATTCCCTCAATGCGGGCCTTTTTTAAGGTTCTGTCTTTGTTTTCCACATAAACTACTTTAACTGTAGTTCATTCTATTTCTCTTTCTATCAATACTGCCTATGTTGTTGGAAAAAGAATGATTCCCAAATAAGCCATCATATTAAAACTCATCTCTGACATCCAGATACTGGTATGGAACTGTTGACTTTACAGATGAGATTGGATGCTTTCTATTTATGTTCAAAACTAAATTACCGAATCTTTCACTCCCATTTTCATCCTACTGTTTTTCTCACCTCAGTAAGTCATTGCTACATCTGTTCAGTTGTGGACATTCTTGATAAATTAAAAAATAAAAAAGACATTAAAACGATTGCTATTTAACAGTTCTAAAAATTCTGGTTAAATGTAATTTAATAAGCATAAGCATAAGCCTATTTTTACAATTTAACAATTCTAAAAATTATGGTTAAATATAATTTAATAAGCATAAGCCTACTTTTACTCATTAATTTTTCTTCCACAGTATATCCAATTTAAATGACTGTCATTTCTATATGTTGATCTTAGCAGAAAATTAAAGGAAAAATGAAGTTTTAGAAAACTGATTAGTTCTGTCTGTACAGCAAAAACAACTATGTGTGTGAGTGTGATAACAAAATAGAATCTGCTACTAAGTTTTTAAAATTATGTCGATTTTTAAAAAAGAGCTTTCTTTTTCAAAGAAACTAAAGACATAGTTTTAAGATGAGAAATTTCTATAAATATTTTTATTGAGTTCCCTAAGGAGAAACTTCCTGTTAGAAATGAATGTTCCCTGCTTTATTCTTCCCACAAGTTTATAGCATTTCCCTCCGTAGAGACGTCAGCACAGTTATCTTAGAGATGGTGGGATGCTTTTGCCAGGCCTAGGATCAGAGTTCATTGGCATCCAGTCCCCAATTGAAGCAGTGTGTGGGTTAGGACAGTCTGTTCTTTGTTCACTCTGAGAAACCAAGAATAACCTAGTGGGAAAGAGGCATAGTTTGCATTCTTTTAAAGATAGAGGACTCTCCTGATAATTGTGACTCATCATGAAATTTTCAAGTCTGTTTTTCATAAGTTAAAGGGTGTCCTTGGTGTGTAAAGTATAAACATCTCTCCCCAAATTAACACACAGACTTGTTTCCTTAGAATAATAAAATCTTACAATATATTTGCAACTTAGGTCAATTTCCTTTTTAAGATATCGCAAAAATATAGTTTGGCATTAAATAATTTCTTTTTATAAAACAAATATTTCTTAGTTATCTTATTGTATAACAGTTTTTTTCTGAATGAATGTTCTTTAAGAACCAGACAGTAGCACGTATTTCAGTGTACGTTTATTGATAGCCAGATTCCTCTCAAAATACGTCTACTCATGTTACCTACATTCTTTGCTTACTGCCTAAACTTCTGGTAAAAATAAAATTGAAGGAACTAGGAAGTAAATACTCATAGAAATCTATCAAGTAGCAGCTATGAACAGGGGGAAAAAGCCAACATGCCTGTTTTTACAATGTAGCAAGTGGCAAGAGCCCCTTTTGTGGAAGTCTATGTGTTGCCTATTCAAAATAGCTGCTAAGCTTTGTGTCCTAGACTATTCAAACTGTTTTATCTCTCCTTTTTATCACTTTTAAGATACCAACACTTTAGTTGCTTTGTATTTCTTCCATTTCCTTTGAAATGCTAGTCCTTTTATTTGAGTTTAATCTTTTGTAATCAGAAGGGTTATTTTAGGAAGGTGTAAAGTTATTCTGGTTTGCTGTTGTGTGTTAGAACATTGGAAATGGAAACCCAAAGCCCAGGAACGTGTTAGACGGAGGTTTTTTTGTACTTCCTGGAAGAAAACTATGCTGTGGAGTGGCGATGATCCATATAATGGCTAAGTTGGCAGATAAGACTAAATATTTTAGTGTGGTGATACATTTTATTTTTTTATTCCTTTGAGATGCACATATATGCTGTTTGACAGTTTGATGTAGAGATTTTTTTAAAAGGTATCTAATGAAATGTATGTAATGTATACTTAAATGTAACGATCAATAGTATTCTCTCTCACTTAGCATCCCCTACTCCTCCCTTTCTTCTTCCCTTTTTCCCCTTTTTTGACTTCTTCAAAAGATTTCCTAGATACTTAAGGCATTAAAAAAATTAGACTGAAATAACACTAACTATTCACACTTTCTGTTACTTCCCAGGGGCGCCAAACATTTTCTAAAACCCTTTCCCTAGGGAAAAAAAATCATAGAACATTGGTCACAAAAAGCTCCCTTAGTGACTGGGTCATTGCCACTTGCCAACTTAGTTAGATTCCTATATCATATCATATCAGGTTTTTGTTCTTATTTCTTTCTTT